AAAATATTACATAAGGTTTTGAAAAGGAACTATTATTATTATTATTATTATTATTATTATTATTATTATTATTATTATTATTATTATTATTTTAAATGAATATCTGCTACTGTAAAAAGTGAGAAATTGACCATATGCTCATGTGCAAGCATGTTTTTCCCCTAAATCAAAGTAATGTGATAAGTAATTATGAATATTTGGCCAATTCAAAAGCATTATTTTTTCCATAATCACGCAGCCTTAGGTGTCAGCACTCCTCTTTGCCGCAGGATCTCATAACAAGTCATATTTTAGCATACATTATGTTTAGTTAATGTCTAATTAGGCTGGGGCTGTTATTTAAATAGCTACAAGTCAATCTACTTATGACGAAGCCAGTTCTCAGAGGTTTTAATGGGAGGAGGTTGAGTCTCTGAGGAGGAAGTCTGTCTGTCTCTCCCCTCACATACGCTATACCCTCGCCTGTCTCTCTCTCTGCATCATATTTTCTCTACGTCGGTGGACACTCATGAGTCAACAGAGTGAACTTGCAGTCTTCCCACCAGCGGAGATTAACGGAGGTGTTAGGCGTTCGGAAAGGCCTCGGGGATGAACACAAACGTTTGGAAGCATTAGTTGCTGTCAGCGAGGTGCTGATCTGTTCTTGTCAAGTCACAGCTCAGCGAGACAAGTGTTGATTTCCCAATCTGTGATTTCAGCTGTTGCTGTTTCATGCAATTCTTTATTAATCTCTTTTTTTTCAGGTAAACATCACACATCACTGTGTCTTTGGTCAAAACAAAAAAACAACAACTTTGAAAAAGAAAATTGGTGAAATCACTTTGTCACTTTGCAGCAATGTTGTGTTTTACAGCTTGTTTTCGTACACGCTCATTACATTACATGATGCTCATCAGCTTCTGCTTTTTCAGTGGCAACTTTTCTACAGCGGCAGTCTTTTCAAAAACAAATAAAACAGCACAAACATGCCAGGAAGGATTCTTTTTTTTACACTTTTAGGTCATGGTAAAAACCTAAAAGTGTAAAATTTAGACATGTAATGTAGAAACAGCGTTATTAGACACAGTCAAAAGGCATTATTGTAACAGTTTCACATGTTAATTATTTGGACAGCTCTGTATTTAAAGATGGTTTGTCACAATGCTCATTATGTTTTTATATTTTTGAGAGATGAGATGAGATTTCATTTTGTTTAACACAGACAGTGAGTGGACTGGAACAGTACAGATGTCCACAGACATCAAGATGAAGGAGCAGTCTGTGCCTCAGTTGGAATCTTTCATATCTTTCTGTGGACTTTTTATGCAATGTAAACTGGCTCTAGACTCATGGCTGTGTTCACACGTACTCTTTCATTGCACAACAAAGCATCGTGGAAGGCTTTATGTGAGTGAGAAAGCTGCTGATTTTAGCTTAAAGTGTTCCTGTGATTAACATCTGATCCCACTACTTGCTACAGACACAATGCAGTATTTAACAACTCACTTATTGCAATATTTAGTTTCTGCATTTCTATTCTGTTAATACTTGTAGTGAGAAACACAGGCAACTGTATCTACTTTTATTGATTGGTTTGAAAAAAAAAAAGCAGTTCTATCAGCCATTATTTTTCCAGAAAGCTGAACATTTCTTAACTTTGGGAGCTGACTCTCTGCTCTGACAAAAAGCTTTAAAATGAGCACCCTAAGGCCATGTCCTGTTTTTTGCTCTGTAAAATATAGGCTTTAGCAGCTTATGTTGCTTCTCTGTCAAGATATAGTGGTCAGTAAAACTGAACAGTGGCCACTGTCACTACAAGTTTATTAAGCGATTATAGAAAAATGCTAAATGCTAAAATATGGTGTAACGAGGCGCTTGGACCAAACACAACAAATGCATTGGTGGGGGTGAGCTTTAGAAAATATTATTCAGGAAGCCAGATTTGACTTTTAGATCTATGAGTTTGAGGGCTTAGCAGATGCCAAACCAGTGCACAGTGGTTAACACAGTAGAGAGACAGGATTTCACAACTGTGGAAAGCTATCACAACAGCTGCCATCTTTCACGCCATGCTCATGTTGGTCGGCTCTAAGGCAAGGCTTCAGCTCTGTGTAAAATGAAGCCGTCTGATTCATTTGAATGAGGCCAGTTCAGCGATGCAGTTTGGGTGCCAAAGCAAAACCATACGGCAAAAAAAAGAAACCGGGCTCAACCTTAGCTGCAACACAGCACAATGCCACCTGGTAGGGATGAACGCCATGTTTCTGCGTGCTCGGTGAACGAGTGATCAAATGTGATGAGGTTTAACAAGTGTCTGGGACATTTGGAATCTCAGCAAGTCCATTGGCTGTGATTTGTCTGCTGAGAACTGCCTCGTGGATGCCTGAGCCTGTCTGAATGCCTGCTCAGAGTATCACAATAAGGGAAGAGTCACCACTAAATTAATCAAAAGTTACATAATCTTGCTTTAACCCATCATTATTACTGCTGTAATGCTACCAATCACAGTGTTGCTCCCATGGCCGGTGTGGTCTATGGCGCATTCCCTCACAAGGTCTCTACACATGCTGTAGGTACAGTACCACATTACCCTGATAGAGGGCCATAATTCAACCTTTAGAAAACAGACAGTACGTGTGAACACAGCATTAATCTGATTATGACCAAAGCTTCAAAGGGACATCACATAGAAAAATTTGCTGTCAGCAACTAAAATAAATAAGTCCACTATTGAGTTTTCACCTTTCAAGTACACAAACAGACTCCCCATTAAATCTGCAAGCAGCTGAGACATTGAGATGAATCAGCAGAAAAACTAACTATGGATCAATGAAATGTTTGAACACACACACACAGTGCTCGAATGCTTTATCTGAATGCTTCAAACAGGCCATTAGACGACTTGAATCGTTATGTAATTCCCTAACTGTCACCTCCTGCCTGCCTGTCCAATTACGCAGGCATTGACTCACTTCCTGTTTCCTGTTTCTTGTTGTGTTTCAGTATGATCTACTCCTTGGTTACCTCATAACAACTGATGTATCAGCGACACTGGAGAGAAACAAAAAAAAACCTCTGGATACACAGACTGCCGTTGTCTCGGCCTAGAATTGAGAAACAGGAAATTTAAAAGTTAAGAAGAGAAAGAAAAACACTTTCTTTTTGCTGTAAAGCCAAACAATGGACCAGACGGAGGTCGAAGCTTCTTTTCTGCTTCGTCCCCTCGAGAAGGACGGGCATGTTTTATGCTCGACTGTATATAAAAACTGAAAACTCCTGTTTACAGTTTGACTGGTCATAGAGAGACCTGAGTTAATCACTGCCTGGCCAACGTTTGTACCACAATCTCTCTCACACACACACACACACACACACACACATCCACAGCCTCCTCTGGAGCGATACCGTACTTACTGTACAGTAGCAGCGCCGGTAGCCCAGAGGACGAAGAGCACAGTAGCGTTTGCACAGTTTGTCTCAGGCACAGCATGGTGAAGCACTGTCCAGCCCAGCACAGCTCACCGACCCTCATTCATTCCCCCTCGTCGCCTCGCCGACCGTAGCTTCACCGGCGAGCCCAAAACGTGGGACAGGTGAACGAGCGGGCGGACGGATCACACTGTACAGAAAAGAGAACGCTCTGAAACACCAGAGCAGCCAGTTCCCCGATATCCCCGATAACCCCCCGGACGGCACATACAGTCCATGGCCTGTGGGTTTTTCTTTCTAACATTACGTGAATGGCTTCGTGTGACGTGTGCATTTTGGTGTATTCTTTAACAAAAGGCATTTGTAATTGAATTATGATCTACCGCAAAAGGTATTCTATACAGCAAATGCCTTCTTAGTGTTGTCCTAGTGTCGTTCTATTGTGGAAAACCTTTCTAAAACTAAAAACTGACACCTGTCCAAGCTTTTATAGTAGAGGAGCACACATTCTTTGCACAAATAGTGTCTTGCACAATATTCGCAATATTTGGCTATATATTAGAGATCATACATGATAGTCTAGCCACACAGGTGAAGGTCTTCCAACATGTAAAGAACTATCCAGTCCTGTTTGAAGATGGGGCGACAATGTGAATCTTTTCTAGCTCAATTTACACCACGGACCAAAATGTTGTCTATTAAATTGATTTATTTATGTCTCTTTGTCGGATACTGATGGCTTGCCTCCATGCTCTATCTTAAAAACACATATTATTTTCCAGTGTAACCAAATCATGATAAGAGTGAGTAGTGAGTAAAGAAGACGTGAAAGGTGCCACGCATTAATCTGTCTTTCTCTCTGAGTTGACTGGAGCAGAGGGTATTGCTGTATAATGATTCCCAGAGAGAAACTTGCACCCTTTCATATACAGGTCAGAGGTCAAAAGTCAGGCTCAGCTACTGCAGCTGGAAGGAATTCAGTGTCTTGCTCACAGAAACTTTAGCAGGGCAGGTGCATCTTCCATGTGTAGCACAGTTTTCTAACCACCGGGCCACTCTCTTTAGATCTTCACCATCATCTTCACACGATGAGCTCACTTCGTAAGGACTTCAAGGAGCAAATAGGAATGCCCAATTCTTGTCGTTTTCTCTTATTCTAATTCAAGCATTTTCTATCCTTACTGTGTATGTGACCGACCAAGTTGAATTTAGATATTGTTTATGAAATAAAGTATTTTAAAATCAAAGATTTGGTGTTTATATTTATAAATATACACTTTACACTCATCATACTTTGTCATATATGTCTTGTAAAAATGTTCCTTGTGCAGGAAACGCAGGAGTTCACCTGGTGCCAACCGCACTAAGCAGGTGGGTGCACATGCACAACGCCTGGTAACACTTAATGCCCATTTGCACTGCACTCCTTGTCTGTAGCACAAATCAAAGCTGCACCGTGAAAATAGAGCCTCTTCTCAGATGATTACTGTCATTAAAATCAAAACTACAAAATATGTGTTACAAATAAAGGTGCAAGTTTCCCTTAAACATCACGAAAAAGTACTCTTTCCTGTTTCATTATATGTTTTTGAAATAATGAGCCAGATGTCCACTTAATCTGAGCTTTTAGTACAGGACATGAACAAATTATTCATTAAAATATCTAATTATGTAAAAATATCTAATCATTTATTTTAAAAAAGATGGCACCATTTCTTAAAACAGCATAATAAAAATAAGTGACTTTTTGTCTTAATTTAAGGTACCAGAAGCATTCTTATTTTTAGCATGTTTTAGTAAAACAATGAAGAACTAAACAGCAGCTTGGGACAAGACTACTTGTATAAATACTCCATAACTAGTAAAAGCCCAGGATACATTTTATTTTATTAAAAGTACAGAAGTACAGCAAAATGTACTTAAATTATCAAAAGTACAAATAATCGTTATCCAGAGTTGTCTCTGTCAGTATTATATTATTGAATATTCTACTAGTGGATTTATATTACTGTTCCTTTAACAGAAGACTGAGACAGTGAGCTCACGGTTAAGTTGACCCCTGTCTGTGAGAGAGTGACAGAATAGTTCTAATATGACTGTGTGTGATTGTGAAAGACAGTGTGTCTGTGCAAGTGAGCGAGTGTGTCCGAGCCGTGGCAGACAAGCGCTGACAGATCGGTGACAGCCTGTCTTCCCAATATGCACCTGGGTGCTGTCCACATCGCTGCCATATATTTCATCGTAATTAAACCAGGCACACACTGCTGACCTTTTGGCCCCTTGTTGTGCGTGTGTGCGTATGTGTGTATATGTGTGCAGCCTGGCAGTGATGTGTTTGGATTAGTTCTCATCCTGTACCACCTCCTCTCACCTCCCTCTGTTTCTGTTCTCTTCCCCAAATCCTCGCCAGCATCCAGCTCTCCTCTTAAAGCTGTGAAATGACATTGAGCTCTTGTCCCGCGGCTCTGGCACACTGTGCTCTGCCGTCTGGAACCCGAGGTTTGTCTGTAAAACTCTGTTTCTTCAACTTTTCACAGCAAGGGAGCCAATTTTAATCTCACTCTGCATGGGACTGAAGCTCACTGATGCATATTGGTGCTTTCTCTATGCGAAGGCCCAGCAGAAATAGGCTCTGTGACTCATGTTAAGTTCAAACACTAGGACTACGATGGTGAGTCAACTAGAAAGGCCTGACATGGGACACAGGAGAACTGTAGTTATTCTAGGTCAGTGGACCATGTGACTGTGTCTGTAGGTTTTCATTCAAACCAAACTGTACAAGGTATCTCAGCTTTTTGGCTGTCCTCCTTAGGTAGCCTTGCTAGTCAGCTGGACTCGCGAGATCACAAAATCTTGTGAAAATCCATCTTACAAGACTTCAAGACTCCAACCACTCTCTGGTTTGGACTAATCAGAATCCTATGAAGATACTGGCAGCTACGGGTGTGGTTTGATGTTATGCATGTGAGAGAAGTGACTGTCACTTGAAAAAGATTAGCGTAGATCCTGCTAGCATCAGATATATCATATATATTTATTGAAAGGATGGAAAAGATGTTTTAGCTGACTTCGGTAAGAGTTTGACTTCGTTACATGGTTTGTTGATCAGATTGGTTAAGTTTGACGGTGATAGATGGTTCATCCAATCATCTGCCAAGTATTTTTTGAAAGTGCATGACCTAGTCTAAACAGCTTCCATCAATGTCTTCCCAGATGGTTTGATGGTTCTATGTAACAAACAATCTGGCACAGTCAGGTTACTCCATAGGCCTCAACTTTTAACTGTTATTGAAATGAGTGGAGAACCACTTCAAAAATGTTCTCCAGCTCTGATATAACTGATGCTAACAGCATCTACGCTAACCTCAAACAATTACTTCTCACACACGTCGCCAAACACTCCTATCATGCTGTAGCTGCCATTAGTTCCTCAAAGGATGCTGATTGGTCACCACTGTGGTTGGAAACAAATTACCTTCCAACTGAAATGTTTTGTGATGGACTTGGAATCACCATCAATAGATTGGCGCCCATGGGTCAGAAGTACTATAGCAGATGGTAGTCTCTACGTGACTGAAGGGGCCTGGTCCCACTTTCTCATGCAGTTGCAACATCGTTAAGGTGATTTTAAGACAACACAGATCAACCCAAGGATTGTTGATACGATTAGGTTCCATCTTTCTTTCTCCCTCAGAAGTGTCTCCAGGCAGAGGTTTCTCCTTGTGTTGCACTAACACACAAAGTCACAGAGCCAGACACTGGTCCTGAAGTTGTTTAAGTGCCACTGAGTCAGCTTTTTTCGTTCTTTGAGTCCTGCTCACTGACTCAGCCACTTTGTCCCCAAAACACCTCTCAGCTATAACGCCATCACAACACTTGCCAGAGAGCAAAATGCCTGCTTTTCACCTTACCGCAAAAACATCAGTCCGCCACTGTTTTTTGCTCTCACTGCAAGTCCTCCACTTTCTTCCACTGTGATCCTTTTATCCCCAAACACAGCAAGAGGAAGACAGAGAGGTGTGGGGAGGGCACACGCAGCTAAGCATTATGGGCCTTGACACGTGTGGTTGTGCCGTCCTGCAGAGCTGGACAGGCAGTCTGTCAGTGTCCTCTGTGCTTCAGATGGCCGCCCTGTCAAATTGCATTACCCACAACACAACTGGTGAGAGGCTGATTTCACCATCTGGTCATCTTTGTCTATAGATCAAACTGTTGGCAACGATTCAAGGGTCCACTGACTGATTTCGCAAATTTAAATAAAGTACTGCAATTTTAAGAAGAAGAAGAAGAAGATATACTTTATTTACCCTGATGATAATGCAGGTCCTGTTTGCTATAAGCCCTGAAGTTTGGGAATGCATCATGAACCAATATAGATAGACTCTCTTGCTCACTGTCTATACACACACATACACTCGCCCTGTTTTTGCACATCCCACTCACTCTCTCTTCCCTAGTTCCTCCCTAATCCCTTTTTCTCACTCTGTATTTCTATATTTACTTTTTCCTGTCATCTTTTTTTGCCCCCCACACTCTCTCTGCATCTCTCCCTGTAAGACTTCTCTGCAATCCATTTGTATTCATTTGTCACAATCTTTAATGCAGCTTTTCTTGATGAAGTTGTAGGTGGCACTCCTGTTTGTTCAGCCATCTTAGTTATGACTTTTCATGCTACACCCACAAACTGCTGTTTGACAACATAATTTCTCTGTGCCTTCCAAAACTCACATTTGGAAAAGAAATCTGTTTTATTTTATTTTATCCCCCAAATTACGGCTGTACAGGTCGTCACACTGCCACCTCCAGTGGCTATAGTAAAAATGACGGGAGCAAAGGAGGAAGTCAGGTGAGGTAGTATTTTGGCGTCCACTTAGGGCAGAGTGGATGTATAGGTAAAACACAGGACTTTCTGCTGTTTGTGTCCCGTGTGAAACCAAATTTGACTTACTATAAGTTACCTTCGTAATTTAACTTACGTAACTAACATACTCCCTAAACCTAACCAAACTGCAACTATTTTACATTAACCACGTGTTTATTACTGTTACCATAACAATGAAGCTTCACAGAGAATTATCACCAACTCTGCATTTCTCTCCTCAGCTCTACAGAGCATTTAAGCCTCTTTTAGTAGATTTTTTTGGCTTTATGGCCCGTAACTTTGTACTCACTGTTAAGCAGCAACAGTAAACAGTTATCAACTAGATGGTAGCCAGCAGAAGTTCTTGTTGTCGAGTCCAAACTAACCTGAAAGGAGAGTGAATATTGGTGGCCAGAAACACTCCAATCCATATTGCTGTGTGTCTGTGTGTCGGGCAGGGGCGTCGCACCCGTGGGGGATGTGGGTGTTTTAGCCACCCACAACTTTTCCCCGGAGAAAGGGTTCAACAACACACACTTTTTTTGTGCAGTTTTTTCTGCAGGTGTTTGCAACAAACGCCATTTAACTACAAAGTCTCTTTCCCGTTTCTCTGGCCGCTGTATTGGATTTGTTTGAAGGCAACAAACAGGAACGAGTGTCTGCTCGCTGCCGGCTGCCTCCTCTCTCCCCCTCCCCTCCCCTTCTGTTGTTGCCTCAAAACATATGACACGCGGCTTCTGAGATGATGACCAGGCTGATGATTAGGCTTGTTCTTTGCTTAAGTTCCCCGCTTTTCTCCTTGGTGTGTTTAGATTTATTGTTCAGCTGAAAATAGCCTGAGGAGGCGGGAAACTAGCTTTAGTTCATAGTTACACCCGTCACCTGCAAATATCCACCCCAAACTGTTGGTCCTTTTTGAGAGATCGCGTGATTGATTTGTAATACACGCAGTGGCGGGAGGGGGAGCTCTGAGCCTCATTGTTAGTGAAACCGCGGGAGAAGAAGTTCTGGTTATTTACATCTCCCTTTTCCAGGTACTCTGAATGAGTGTTTATGCTTTCGAGGTTTTTAAATAAGCTTGATATGTGTTTGGGAAGATGTTCTGTTTATGTTTTGTTGACATGTCGAGTGTCTTCGGTATTATATTTTGTTTATTAGGCTAATGCTAATTGCTAATTGGGATATTGTTCAGCAGCTAGCTAAATTTGGTTATGTATGTGGCATGCGATGTCACAGATACAATTTTTATTTTATTAGTCATGTTTGTTCCAATTTTTTTAAGTCCGTTTTTATTTCCTG